GATTTATTTTAATTGTTTCATGATGTCACACAAGGAAGCTGTGTGTTTGAGGTGTTGCCTTATAAAAGGTCTGCCTCCATGTAACTTATTTGTTGTCAAATATTGTATAAGGAGCTTGCCAAGCTGTGACGTCATCATCTTGACTTTCAAGAATTGTTTAAAGGCAGAGTGATCTCACTGGATCTAACCTTCTGAATTTCCAGAAAATAGCAAAAGAAATTCTGAAGCTCATTGTTCTGACATTTAGGACATATAAATAATTTTGTGAATCCCAACTGAACTTAAAACAGAAAATTTTAGTCAGATTAAAGTGAGAAGAAGAAGGTCATGTGTCTTTTTATACAGCGGATATAAACGTCTGGTTTCAGCTGTATGTATTTATTAATTTTGAAGCTTCTTGTCTGTTAATTAAACCAAATCTTTCTCAATCTGCCCCTCAGAGAAGCGACCCTACACCTGTGAGATCTGCAGTCGATCGTTCAAGCGTTTGGATCAGGTGACAGCTCATAAGATCATCCACAGCGAGGATAAACCATATAAATGTAAACTGTGTGGAAAAGAGTTTGCTCATCGCAATGTCTATAAGAATCACAAGAAGGTGAGGAAATATAGAATCCGATCAATTGTTTGTCTTTTAGCAGATTAAGTAAAAGTTGGAGGTCTTCTCTTTATATGACCATGATGTCTTTGAAGAAACAGAATATCTTCCTTAAGAAAACAAAGTTAGCCATTAGCTAGGCTGCAATCAATCAGGGTCTTGTTGGTGGCTGTTATCTGTGGGGTCTCTGGCCCTTTCCAGCCCCCTGGTTTCCTCGTGTTTATTTTGGGGATTAAGATGTCATTCAGATGGATAGGCGGGTGGGTGGATAGATGGTATGGTCAGGTAAGACAGAAGCATTTTGAACAAGAGTCCCTCCAGCTGCTTCTCTTCATCAACTCAACAAACCTCATTAGTTATTGCTATTATGTGTGATCCATTAAAATCAGTTTATGAAGCCTTCTTAAAGCCCATGCTGAGGCAGGAGGGGGCTCACCTTGCACATTATAAAAATGCTTATCCTGCCCGACTCTTCCCTGCAGACCCACTCTGAGGAAAGGCCCTTTCAGTGTGAGGAGTGTAAAGCGCTGTTCCGCACCCCCTTCTCTCTGCAGCGCCACCTTCTTATCCACAACAGTAAGTATGGATTTTATCATGTTAATAAAAGCTTGGTCACTTATGCACAGTCCCTTGCAAATGTTTTCATACCCCTTCCTTAAACTTTCCTGTATTTTACAGCCACAAACCTCAACCAACTTCTTAGGCTTTTTATAGCTCAAACTAAGTCAGATTTGAAATGTTGGGGAGATCAAACTCTGAAGCCTTGCTACAGGTTTTTTAACTGGATTTAAACTTTGACTGGGCTATTCTCCATGCTTTGAGCCACCCAACTGTAGCTCTGGCCAGAGCACCTTCTTCATCATGTTGTTGTGTCCCCTATATGATGCATAGCAAACTGTGAACTCCTTATTGTCTTTCAGCCCTATATTTCTTTTTGCCTTGCTCCGTAAAGGCCAGATTTAAGTGCACAATCAGCTCATATGATGTGAAAGGATTCTCTTACTGGAGCTGTGGATCTCTGATGAAGTTGAAGAATGCTCTGTAAGATGTTCAGAACTTTATTTTTTATTGTTTTATGACCTAACTCTGCTTTAAACCACTCTAGAACCTTTTCCCTGACCTGTCTGCTGATGTTCCTTGGTGTTTCCCTGTATTTGTTCACTAATGTTCTCTCACACACTTCTGAGAGCCTTCACCGAACAGCTGCATTCATACTGAGAATAAATTCCACACAGGTTTCTCCAATCAATTAGTTGCATTAGATTTTATTCAGGGTTCTCGGAGTGTCTATAGGGGTTTTCAAAGCATGTGCTACTTTATGTAAATCGGTCGCACAGATCCCCCATAAAACTGAAGTTGATGTTTGTGGTTATAACATAATATAATGTGAGAAATTCAAACGGTATGAATGCAAGGCACTGGATATGCACTTTTTTAAGCATCACTCAGTGCTTCTGTAAGCCTTTTGCAGTGCTGATCAGATTTTCCAGTGCCTTGGTAATTCTAACTGGTTCTGTAAACAGTGTTGGTCTGCATTCACATCACATCTTGCAGGAAGATTAGAGACATTTGCTTATTTTATTCCAGTTGCGAGATCAACATCGTTTTGATGTGTATAGTTTTTTTTCAATTGTTATTGAAAGAACGTTGGGAAATTTAAACATGAAAAATTCTAACATTTTAATTGTTTGTTGTTGGTCTCTACCCCTGCATCTAAAAAGCAGTGGAACCAAGCTGATGGAAACAATGTCAGATGTCAAACTAGAAAACCGTTTAGAAAACAAGTAATTGTGTTAGTTGGATGGTTCTACAACACGAGTTTCTTTGAAGTTGTTTAGTGTTGAATGTGTTCATGAGTAACATCCATCTGTTTGAGGTAGAAACATTGACTACAAAGGACATCAAAGGAGAAACATTGACAACAAAGCAAACAAGCCTGATCTACCGATTCTGATTTTGGGCGATACCGATTTTTTTAATAACCGAGATCACAATACACCTTCAATGTTCCAATTTTATTTTATTGAAAAACTCTGAACAATATCCGTGAAACACTACAAAATGGTTTTAACTGCACATGAAGTAGTGCTCTCAAATATAAATGAAAGGTTTAGAGCATTTTAGTCGAAAATACTAAATGAACTAAACTAAAAAAAATCAGTTCCTTCAGTCTTTAATTTTTTTCACATCAGACCTTAGCAGAGGTAAATAAGATTGGTGGTTAAGATTGATTTCACATGCAAGTATCGGCCAATTTCTGATCACTCAAAATTATGGAAGTCAGGGCCGACCGATCGACGCACCGTTATACCTAAAATTTAGGGCATCGTGTATTTTTATATACCATATGTACTAGAGTCCAGTTGCAAATGCATCAGTCATCCTGGTCAGTGGTTGAAAGTCACATTTGCAGTAGCAAGTGTCAAAAATTTGATGTTTTTTTTTAGCCCAGATGCTCGAGGAGGAGACACAGCAGGGATCTGACTTTGTTACTGGTTGTTATCTTAGGTGCGGCTCTTTTCTCTTTTAATGCTCCTACAGAGAAAAGAGCTACAACCTGTTTGAGGTGATGAAATGAAGAGCTGCCTAGGAACAAAATGTATGATAAAAAATTATACATATTATGCTGACTTCAAGTTAACCAACTTTAGCAAACAGTAGCCACCACATGGTGCTATCACTACCAGACTCATTAAAGCTGCAGCTTCAGAGTTCTTGTGTGTATTATCACAGAGTAATGAGGGATGTAATTGCATCTGAATGCAACTGTTCTCTGAGGAAAAGTTGTTGCATCCTCTCCTAAAAGTAACATAATTTCACTCTACAATGTTTAGGCTGCTCCGGGTTAGAAATCATTTATTTGTTACAGACCTTTCATTAAGAAAAAACATAGGTTAAAATATCCAGGTGGTTTATTTTTTTTCTTGGGTTTATTATTGTTTTCAAACTAAACCTTTGTGAATTCAAAACTAGAATGAGCTCAAAGGTGTGGTGCTTGGGTTTCCATCCCGGACCTGTTTTCCCTGCTACCTGATCTAAGGGAATGGGATGGATGGACGGTCGATCAGTCCAAGGTTTGTATAGGGTCATTAAAAGGGCCGCTAACATCTCTGCAGACCCCACACATCCTGGACACAAACTATTTAGCCTTTTACCTTCAGGTTGGTGCTACAAAGCACTTTTTGCAAAAACCAGCCACCACAGAGACCGTTTCTTTCCCTGTCTTTCTAATGAACACAACAAACAACTTACAACCGGAGTGGTCAGCTACTCTGCTGTGAAACAAATTATGCTTATTTCCACTATCACAACCTGCCAAAAAATTATTAGGTGGTCACATACATATGTTTACATGTTGTTCTTTTTATTTTTTATTTTATTTTCACTTAAGTTGAAATATTTATAAGGTCATCGTGTTGACAAAAACTGTGGTTGAAGCTTGGCAAGAAACAGCTCTAATTTTCACACAGAACCAGATAACAAAGCAGACTGTAAAACTTGAGCCATTTCTTGCTGCTTTCCCAGGTGGCAGACAGTATAATACCAGATTTCGCCGCACTGTGGGAGGAAGAATTACATTATTAGTCTGTTTTCTATAGGTGCATTTCCATTATTCTGTCTTAAACTTTAATCCCCCCAGACTTACTCACCTGGAACTATTAATCTCTCCTGGGTGTTTGTTTTGTACGTTTTCACTGTTGTACACAACCCTGCTGGTTATGGAAATTATATGTGCCGACTTTAAGGGTTCCCTCCTTCCACCGATGCTGTTTGCATCAGTACTTCCAATAGAACAATCATTAATTGATATTTATGTTCAGCAGTACAGTGGGAAGACTTTTTATTGTTTGGAAATTTTGAACATCTTGAATCCTGCAGCATCAATCAGTTGGATGACTGTACTGAGAGAGGCATCTTGATAATGGGACAGAAAATAAGGAAGTCAGGCCAATAACACATTCACCTCATTTTGCATCGCAAAAGTTACAGTTTGAAATACATGTAAAAAAGGATTAAATCTAAATACAACCAATTCAAAATATTCACCAGGAATAATCAGAGGTTTATTGCATAACACAGGGTTGCGATCCACCCGTCTGGAGTAGTGTCCTCTCACCTCTTTCCTCATGACTTTATTTTTCATCTGTTCATAACTTTTTTTAGATTGGGGCATGATATGTTGGTTTTTTAGGAAAGGTTAGCCTACTTTATGTTGTAATTTCTCGATTCTGCAGGTCTGGCAGTAATCAGGCCTGGGTATAGCCAGTAAAATTAAAGCAGCCATCCATTTTCTATGTCCACTTCTTCAATACAGGGTCGCACAGGGTCCAACAATCATGTTTTTGGACTGCGGGAAGAAGCCGGAGTACCCTCAGGGAGCCCACACATTCAAGGGGAGAACAGACCCCAGGCCGGGAGTCAAACCCTGGACCTTCTTGCTGCAAGGCAGTGGTGCTACCAACTGCACCACCGGGCAGTCTAATTTTTATCTAGAAATTAACTTATTCAAAAACTCCTTTTGTCTGATGTTAAAGTTAGTTTGACGATCTGAAACATTAAAAGTGACATGGAAGAAATCTGTAACAGGGAAAACCCTAAACATAAATACCAACACGTGTGTTTCCTGTGCTATTTTACCACCTGTGTTTTTACTATTTTCAGGCTTTGAGAGTAACCCAGTGTAAGTGTGTGTGTTTGGATTACTGTGACTGATCCTCATTGTGTGGAAACATGCATGGCCCAAGATCCAGCATAAGCCGCACTCAGCGTATTAATAGAATCTGTCTGCAATGTGTTGTTGCCTTTTATTACCACCAGGTGAACGTCTCTGGCTGATTGAAAACACAGTGAATCTCAGTCTCCAACTGGTGTTCTGCCTTATTGAACTGACCATCACCAGGCTTGAGAGACAGAAAGTGAGCGCAGGCTTGAAATGACCATCTGAAGAACTCTGTGGAAATTGAATGATCTCCAACAATAGAGGCTGTTGTGTGGGGGCAGAGAGCCGAGGCAGAAAGCAGACTTTGGGCTCCGTGCTGCGAGCAGCTCAGGTTGTCTGCATACTGTCTGACTGGCGTTTCAGCTCTTTTCAGCAGAGCAATTATTAAAACAGGGTTTGTTTTCAGTAAAAAGTAAAGCAGAGCCAGACCCTTCTGAAAACCATTGTCTGGTGCAATGAAAAACCCCTCTGTTTATAGTTTTCTGCCCACACAATTGCTCCGGTGAAATTGGGTCCCCGCTTGCTGTTTGGACCACTGTGTGGTTCAGAGGCAACAACAATAGCCAACACAAAGTAGCTTCCTCTAAAATGATCCCCTGTCCTCGCTGCAGGTGAAAGGACATTCAAATGTGACCAGTGTGATGCCACCTTTAAGAGAAAGGACACGCTGAACGTCCACATCCAGGTGGTGCACGACGGCCACAAGAAGTACAAGTGTGACCTGTGTGAGAAGGCCTTCGTCACTCCCTCTGTCCTGAAGAGCCATAAGAAGGTGAGTGGAAAGGGCTCAAGTCAGACGGCTTCAATCACACACGGCGATTATATGTCTGCAGGCTCTTTAAACTGAGTTCAGATAAAATTGTAGTTGTATTTATTTGAAACACGTAAAGTTCAAACTGAATTTAAACAGAAGACACTTGAAGAAAACACACTTATGAAACATTAAATCTGATTTTTTTCTTTGCTCTTTTGAGAAACTACCGTGTCTTGCAAATGTTTTCATGCCTCTCGAACTTTGTGATGGTACAGCTTCAAACTTGTTTTGTACTGGGATTTTATGTGATAGACATAAAGTTGGGCTTAACTGAGAAGAGGAAGGAAAATTGTTTTCAAAAATGTTTTATAAATAAAAAATAAATAAAAAAACACTTGTAAACTGTAATCTTTCAAGCCCAGTCTGATTAAATAAATGTTAGTAAACATAAATTTTTCAATATCTTGCCAGAGATTTACATCTGGACTTTGACTAGGACGTTCTAACAGAAGATCTAAACCATTCCATTGTATGTCTAGTGTCGTCATGTTGGAAGGTGAACCTCGAGTCTTTTGAAGCTTCTAACAGATTTTCTTCCAAGATTGCCCTGTATTCATCATCCATCTTCCTAAAAACTGCTGAACAGAAGCATCCCCGTAGTACTATGCTGCCATCACCATGTTTTGTACTAGAGATAATAATTTCAGGTTCACGTACAGTGTTCATTTTCCATCAAACTTAGTTTTTAGCATGTAACCCAAAAACTTTCAATTTAAATAAGTTCAACCAGAGTACCTTCTTCCACGTGTTTGCTGAGCTTCCTACAGCCTACAGCCATTTCTCAGTAGGTGTTCAGTTCGGCCATACTCTTTCCATTTTCACATGATCGATTCACCACTGCTCCATTAGATGTTTAAAGCTTGGGGTCCTATTTTATAACCTAAACCTGTTGTAAGCTCCTCCAAAACGCTTCACTGTTTAACATCCCAACAGACTTCTTGTCATCATAAAGTGATGCAGCCAACTTCAATAACATCACAGATTATCGAACTTAGTGTAGTCATCCATCTTGATTTTATGAAATGAATTCCTTTATAGATTTGAAATGGCAGTTAGTCCATTAGCTCTGCGGGGTTTCAAATCTCCAAACAGATCTTTGTGCAGATTATGAGCCGTAAATCTGACGGCGCCCGGCTTGGTTGTGGATCAAGATTGAAACCAAGCAGCTTCTTGGCGCACAGCAAAAGAAAAATTCCCAGAACAGTAGGACTGAAGACAGCCCCTCTGAACTGTGTCGCTGCTGACCATGTCTGGAGGCTGCCTGGGGCATGGCCCTGATCAAAGTTAGGTTGCCGAGGAGACGACAACTCGCCGGCTGTGTTTACATGTGCCCCTTCTGACCACAACACTTCAATGTGGGCTTTAATTCACTGCAACTGCTTATGCAAACTTTGCTCTTCAAATTATCAACACAGACGTGAAGCCTGAGAGGGTCTCTTTGCCCTGAACTTGGTCGACAAATATTTTGTGAATGTTTTAAGTGAATAATTTGCTGTAAGTATCGTTGGAAACAGAACATTTAAAAGTAATTCAAAATCCCATACATGTCTAAATGTTTTTTTCCCCCACAAGACTAAAACAATGATATGTAGTGAGCATTTTTGTCTGGAAAAATGTTACAGTCTGTTTCTCTGCAGAGGAACAGACTATAACATGGTGTTGGCAGCATCATGCCATGGGGATGTTGTTTTTCAGCAGGGACAGGAAAGGTAGTCAGAGTGGATGGTTTAGATCAAAGCATGTTCCTCTGTTAGAATGGCCCAGTCAAAGTCAAGACTGGTAAAAATAGCTGTTCCCAGGCTCTATCCATTCAAACTAAGCTTGAACTATTTTGTAAAAAATAATGGGCAAAGGGGCCAAACTATGGAAATGTTTTAGAGTTACGAATAAATTTGCAAGTCCCTGTATGTCAGATCGTTTCATGTAGCGCTTCGTTTTTTGGTTTTTTTTTTACTTTTTAACACAGTTTAACTTACTGTGGGGGCTGCACCAGTCCTATTTTATGTCCTAACCTTTTTAAAAGGCTTCTATGTTTAGAACATTTGAATAAATAAAACCATTAAGTCATATCCAACGTCTCGACCTTTGTGTTGCATGCCTTCTGTCAACATGCACAAGTATTAGTTGAGTGCTTGATGGCATTAGGAGACTTAATCAAGTGTCGGTTTACTGAGTAGAAAGATTAAGGAGAAGGAAACAAGATTTCATTGTAAAGCATGACTTTGAATACCGTGCATTATTTAGCCATAGTCATTAGTCATACTGGATGCTGATGCATCACAGCAATGCTCTACTTATCTGGCTGCAAAGGCCAGAATTATTCAAGGGGCATTCCTGTGTTGCAGTAAAAGTATCTTTAGTGAGCCTGGATTCATGTCATATGGGAGGGTTGTGTGCGTGTCAACATGAACATGCATGCCATGTACGCTCTGCACATTGCAAGAGATCTTCTCACGTTTAGAAGAATGCACAAATGAATGAAAATTGCCCTGTTGCTTTTTGGTTTATGCATGTGAAAAAAAAAAAAAAGCATGCGGTAATTATAAACAACCGTCAATAAAGTCCACACTTGCAGTGTTCCCATTTCCAAGCACTCCCTCGGGGTCTCTGTGTGTGAAGGTAAAAATACCGGTGGTGTTTTGTCTGCTGTACAAACTGATCCATCTGGAACACACATGTTCATATCAGTGGATTTGTTTGTACATTGTTGTGTGTGAGCCTGTTTGTCCATGCGTCTGTGTCAGCTTCTCTCTGAGGGTGTGTGTGAGTGTGTGGACGGGGGTTTCGTAACAAAACACCCGAGGTGTCAAGAGGGAAGCAGTGGGGCGATCGAGAGGAGGTGTTCCTGTACCGCTGTACTGCTCTTGAGTCTGTCGCTTTGAGTTTGGACCTCTCAGTGTCATGGTTCTTTCAAGAAATTTACTACAGTCTGGGAGCAGGAATCCAGAGCTGAGGGTTGCATGTGTTGCCTGGTTGGGTTCATAGCTTGCAGCCCTGTTTGGTTTTTGAGAGTAAAAGGAGATGATGAAGGAGGAGTTTGCTAAAAATGCACTATTGCACCCTAGATGTTACGATCTTTGGGCACTGGATCCTGGCAAATCTCCGTCATCGGTGTGCTGTCTCTGATCCGGCAGAGCTGATGTCAGAATGTGCATCTTTAACTACTACTGATTTGTAGAACTTTAAAAATATAATTGCCGCTATAAAAAATGTTTAAGAACAAAAATTGCATATGCTTGGAGAGCATCTCCTACAGAAATGAAGCAGTAGATCTGGTTTGGATGATTGGATGATTGGTCTCTGACAAATATGTTTTCTGATATTAAAATCCATCAGTCACAGTAGATCACATTTTCAGAAATGGAAGGATGGAAGAGTGAATGTTTTTCAAATGTTTTTCTTATTATCTACCACATGTTTCTCTTTATCTTTCTCTGTTAGACTCACACAGGGGAGAAGGAGAAGATCTGCCCTTACTGTGGACAAAAGTTTGCCAGCAACGGCACGCTAAGGGTTCACATCCGCAGCCATACAGGTTGGTCTTAATCTATTTAAATGATTGGATACTTGTCTTGGAGGACCATCATTTCAACACACTGTTGGAGAACTAACTGGTTGTTCTTCACACAGTATCAGACAGATAAAAAACCTCAGTTAGTAACACATCTACAGCTCATCAAGTCTAACCATCAAGACTGTTTGGAGCACATTTGAATCTTAGGAAGATGCAACATGTTGTTGCGTTGCTTTCATCAGCCTTCACACCCCCACAAATCTGAGCCCTGGATGTTCATCAAACTGCTTTAAACTAAAGCTACACATTCCTGTGTGTTTCCTTACCAACAGACTGGTGCAGAGGCCTGGCTCAGCCACACAGACTCTTCTTGGCTTCGGTCCCCACCTTTTTCTTCTCTCTGTCTCAGCCTGCTCCTGGCTGTCTTC